TTCCTCTCGTTCTGTTGTGTAACAAAGCCACTTTTTGACAGTATTGCTGTAGTCCATGTCTGTCAGCTTGGAGTCAAACTGCTGAGCAGCAGCTGAAAAACAAAAGTAAGAGTGAGGGTGTCACCAGTTTGGGCCTGTTAGAAGGATAATAAACATTTGAAAAGTTTTGAAACACATTGAAATATTAAAAGTGTTCAGAGTAGAATTCAATTCAGAAGCTGGTTGCAAACAAGCCAGCAGCAAAGGGACTGTGTGGTTGGGACAAACCACTGGTGTAAAAAAAGGTTTTGTGGACCACTCCACTTCTTGTAGTAACTTGTAGATGCTTTTATGTCAACATATTACACATTTAAACAGCCAACAATAATATTTACAGACAAGTAAGAAAATGTACCAAAAAGGAATCACAACCTACTGTCCTCAACAGTGCAGAGGAGAAGAGGTGTGACAGACAGCATACATTTATACAACATTGGCATTGGCATTTCAACCATCAGAATTCAACCACAAACAGCATTGATTCAATGACATCTCAACATTGGTTATTGGCTAAATTTGGATGATTGTTTGATGGTTGATCCACCATCAGCCGTCGATCTTAACCTAAAGTCAACATTTTTGACCATAATTCAACGTTGAATTAGCATTGCTTGCTATCTGGGCAGTAACTATATGTAGTATGAATGACCATACTTGATTCGTGATTGATTGACTAATATTCTTTGTAACATTTCTATGTGTTTCTAAGTGTTTTTTAATGTGTTAAATATTTGTATTATTTGGATTTATGTAGAGTAATCCTATCTAGATACATATGCTTTGCCACTTAAACCACATTATGCTTTGGTTTATGATTTTTATTTGTCTCATTAAAAAACAGCTCTATCTTTGAGTTATTTGACAATGATTATTTTACACCCCTACTGGTTATACTTTAACTTATGTGGAACTTTTGGCATCATGGGTCTCAGTTTGACTATTTGCTTCAATAAACAGCCCAAATACCAATGCATCTGTGAGAGTGGATGGGAAGCTCCAGCTGGGAACCCAGCGTGTGTGTCTGATGTTGATGAGTGTAACCTGCCCACCAAGCCCTGCTCATCCAACCCTCCTGTTCCATGTTACAACACTCAGGGTTCTTTCTACTGTGGAGCCTGTCCTGCTGGTAACACTCAAAATACTAACTCGCCGTTTTCTCTGTTGGTGAACCTCTTTTGTGGTAGTGACATAAAAAAATGACCGACATTTTAGATGTTTACCTTTATACTGCACTTTCAAACACAAATTGGACTGAAAATGGTGAACTAAAGAAGAAATCCAAAAGCAAACTAAGTTATAATGAAGAATACTAGTAATACAGATAAAATGTTTCAAATTCAAGGAATTAAACAGAAGAAAATGACATTATTTAAAAATAAATTCAACCAAGAATTACATAAGGTTCCCCTTATTGAAAACAACTGAGAAAAATCCCCATGTTTTACACAGTACATACGTATTAACATGTGACCTAAATTGAAGAAAAGTTGGGACCTTTATAAAGGACCTTTAGACTTTAATGCTAAAAATGAGCACATTTCAGATTTGATGTTTCCTATGGTTCTCATCATAGTCGGGATAAGTTTATATTTGCTGTGATGTAACGTTTCCTCTTTTTTTAAAAAAAAACACTTTAAAGAAGGGGTACACTGATTTATGGGTCAGATGATTTATCGGCATCAATTTCTTTAATTTTGGGGGACTGATGATCAGCCCATACTTGCATGTGAAGCTAATCTTATCCCCTGATCTTATTTACCTCAGCAAAGATCTAAAAATCAGCCACTGTCCTCTTCTGCTCTCCCATGTGCAAATATCAAAATGTTCTTTGTATGTTGTCGATATTTAATACAGCTGACACAAAAACATAAACAATCAAAGAGCAATGTGCATGCTCTGTGTGCTCTTTCATTCTTGTGTTTTA